TGCCCCTAGAACTTAGCAGCGCACCTTTTTTTTCGATATGTTCATATCTTAAGTTTTCAGAAACTTTTGAAAAATTCGGAGAAACACGGGCTTTTCTTCAGACTGGTCAGTTTTTAATAAACATTGACGGACAAACCTGAAACTTGGACTCTGATAAGCTGTAGAGCTAATTTTCGTCCACATTTTGTTACCGATCTCAACTTTCTAGCGTTGAAATTGGCCATCAAATCTGGAATGCACGAAAACAAAGTTCTATTTTGAGAAAAACCCAAAATATACTGAATATAACGACTCGCTCCATAAATTGATATATCAAGAGTCTTCTACTAACTTATTACTGATCACGGATTACAATGATACACATGAATAAATAGAAAGGTATCCATCACTGCCAAACTCGATTAGAAAAACTTAAACAACTTTGCAATTCAAATTCTTTAGAAGAAAACTTATTTTCTTTTTTGTGAGTGCAGAATAAAATACTCATCAATCTCAATACTAAATTAATGAGCTCTACTGTATTCGAGAGTAGACACTTTGCTCTATCTAGCCAGATAAAAATCACAAATTTCATCGAAATTGACTTTTTTTATTTAGAGAGGAAGGACTCCCTTAAATAGCCAATTGGTATATCCAGTAACACGGCTTTCTTTGTCTTGTTCTTGTGTTTTTTTTTCTAAACAATATATGAAAAGATGCTTCATAATCAATAACACAAAAAAAACGAATTTATATATGCAGTTAAATCCTTCACAGCAAAACTGCATACGTCATTTAGTCTCGAACAAGTTGTTTTTTTCAAAAAGCTTCGAAACAAGTATAAAAACAAAGGAAAGTACTTCATGGAGATAGAAAATTAAGCCATTTACCTCTGTATGGCATGCTACCTTTACCGAAAGATGATCTTTCAAAGCATTCAGACACGTCTTTTATTAAGCTTGTGAAACCAAAAAATCCAATAATTATAGAGAAACAACGACGACGCGTTATGTTTAAATTACTTTGAAAGGTTCAAAAAGTCTGAATTGAAAGAAAAAAATCTAAAGTCAAAAAATAGAAAAACAATTCAAAAATCGGAATTTTTCCTGTCATATCGGTAGATGTGGGAACCCTGCTCTTCACTCACAAATCCATATGTAAAATACAATTTTTATTTAGTTATGAGTTTTCTTCCATATCGATATCAAACACGTCAGAGTTAATATGAAGTTATGTTTAAAGAGTAAGAGAACTATGAGAGTCAATAATCATTTGAATAATTTGCATAAAAAGATTGGTTCATACAATTTTTCGCTTATATCCTTCATAAATCTTCTTAATCAAACTCTTGTGCAAATGTTTCCTGTGTTAATCAGATTTGCCAACTGTTGGCTTTTGTGTAGCAAGAGCAGCCTCTATATCTTTCTAAAAAATATTATTTATCGCAATTTTAATTTCAATCGAAGAATGTTTTTAATAACTAACCATGGATACTGATGGTTCGTATAATTCATCAGATTTTATTTTATCTAATGTAAGTTCTTGAGCTGCTGGATCTTCAGGCGAACAAACAAGCCAAAGTTGTCGAGGACCATTTGGTTTTGGATTTTGAACCTATGTTCAACTCATAAAACTATTGTATGAGTAAAACTAATCGAAAAAACTCTACTCGTTTAAAATGAGTTGCTGAACAAAGTCGTCGAACAGGTCTGAGTAAAGCTTCTTGACAAATTACAGCAATATCAACACCAGAATAACTAAAACCAAACATCAATATCTTCTATTCCATAAAATATAAAACTTACTATTCAGTTTTTTGTGCTAACTGCATCCATTCATGCTCTTGTATCGTATGATAAGTATTAGTACCCACGTGTATTTTAAACAGAGCTGCCCTTTCATTGACGTCAGGTAGTGAAATATAGATTCGTTTTTCAAAACTGAGAAAAAATTCAAAGAAGAAATATGAGCCATTGTCTCCATGTCAAGTATACCTTCGTCGAATAGCTGTATCTAATGCCCAAGGCATATTGGTTGTAGCAAGAATAAAAACACCTGAATTATCTTTTTCAACACCTAATACGCCATCACAACATACGTTTTACTCATTCTTATGAATACAAATAAAACATATACCTTGCATTTGAACAAGAAACTCAGTTTTAACACGTTTTAATGATTCAGATTCTGTATCGTGACATTGTCCAAATAAACCATCAATATTATCGATAAATACAACACATGATTGTCGTTCACGAGCAAATTCAAATAAATCTTTCACATTTCTTTCACTTTCACCGAACCATTTCGAAAGAAGATCAGATGAAGTCACCGAGATAAATTTTCTTGTACATTCGCTAGCAACGGCTTTAGCTAAATAGGATTTACCAGTACCAGGTGGCTAACATGGAAATTAATCGGATTAAATCTAAGGGAACAGTCGAAACTCACGCCATAAAGTAAAATACTAGCCCATGGTTTACGTTTTCCTAAAACAACAGCGAAGAACATTAGAAAAGCATATAAGTTATATAGTAAAATACCTTGAAAATGTTGTGGAAATTTAACTGGTAGAATGACAGCTTCCTTCAATGCTTCTTTAGCTTGTTCCAATCCAATAACATCGTCAAATGTCACTTTCATGTCAGTAACAATAGCGTCTTACGTGAATGAGGAACAGTTATATGCATGCATATTAAAAATATAAATGTAGTAAAACCTACGTTCAAATTTCAGCAACCTAAGTTTTCTATTTACATCACGATTATTCTCATCATCATCATTGCCTTTGTTATCTTTCGCATTTCCACGTTCATTACTAGTGTTAGCAATAGGTTTCTTTTTAGCTGAACCGTTCTTCAAAACTTCTTTAATTTCTTCTGCTCGTCTTACATAACTTTCTACTTTAGGTCGTATCACTTGTTTCATTTGGACATTCAATGCTCCATCTAAAATTCAAATATGATTTCAAATAAAATATCATCTTTTACTGACATTTCATTGTTTGCATAAGCCAATCTGCTGCGGTCATATAATGTTGTGCAGCGGCTTCATAATTATACGCTTTATCTTCAGTCGTAGCTTGATCGGCAAAGCAAATTGCTTTCTAAAAAAGAAACAATATCTTTTCGAAAAATTAGTTTTAGAATCATTACCTGAAGATAATCGTGCTGCATATTGCTCATTGTTTCAACTACAATAAAGAAAAAGACGATTTTACTATACGAAAAATGTTAAACAAATCACGCAAGCTATGTTGGGTGCAGTCAAGTGTTTTTAGACCCAACTCAGTCAGAAAAATGTTTCAACACCACTTTCATATGTCTCAAGTACAACTCGAGGAGCTCTATGTGATGACAAAAACTGTTCCTCGATATATCACATAGTAAGCCAGAAAAACCTAAGATTTCTGTTTTTATCCCATTGGATAAATTTTTAAAAAAAGTAATTTTTTGGTCAATTTACCTACGAAGAGGGTGTGGCTGTTTGCCATAAAGATGCCAGACTTTCTCTTCATCCTCAACCTCACTCTCCTCAATACTCTTAAAATATCGTCGCCCCTACTTTTTAGTTGGCCTAATTGAATACCTGTCCGAATCCATCTGACTCCCTGGACTGAAAGGATAGGGCTAAGCTGAGCCCGCCATCGTAGAATTTCTGAACAACGCGTTTTATTAGCTAGGTGAGACTCAACTGCCTCCTCTCTGAAAGGCGTTTTAGCCCCCGCAAGGAGATTTTTCAAGTACGTTTTTTATTGGTTAGGAGGTTTAAGCCCTCTTCTCTCTAGCCCCAAATCGTGATGTGGCCAGTGTCCCTGTCTGCTTTCCGACTTGACTTGGTGTGTATTCTTTTTAATGATTTTCCTTGGAATTTTCATTTTCGTCTCAATCGTGACCCACTTTAACTTATTCTCTCTAGCCCTCCCATCTTCCTTCAACCTATCCGCCCGTTCTTTCGGCAATTTCAGGAATCACTTCTGGCACAAACAACTTATTTCCTCCGCCGACCATACATTTACATGTGTGAGCCCTGCCCGTCTAGGACCAAGTGAATGGATTCTCGATTCACATTACTTGTTTTCTGTGAGAAACGATCAAACTACATATCTTATGTTGTTATAATTGATTGATCACGATCTTTAAAATACTTATTAAGTGTTTCTTACATTTAGTTTAAATGTGCAGAAGGCTGAAATTTCCCTGATTATATCAGTGACAGCTGGCAAGTTTGTTAAACTTCCCGTCATACATAACAGTTTTCATCTTTATCATTCGATATCAGAACAAACTCAATCATATATTCGGAATCAATCCGAAAAGTGCATCTGATGATAAATATATAGTTTAACAAAAAAATTACATGTGATCCTTTCACAAATGAATTTTCTAGACATTGTCTGTAATCCATTAAGGATGCATTTGTCGTGAAATGATTTTAAAATGATAAGATATTTGAGTTGATGCAGTGGCTTTTCGTTGATTCAGGATATCTTATTTATACTGACCGAAAAGGAAAGTATGGTCAAAAAAGTGATAAAATATTGAAGCATTTTTGAAAATTTTGTATAGTTTTGTTATTAAAATTTAAAAAGTGGTTTCTTAATAATCAAACAAAACTGAAAAAACAAACGATATAGATGTATTTGAAGCTTGAAATTCAAGGATTCTATTTAGACAAGACTCTGGATTCGAAGTCTTCACATATGAAAGATTCAATAAATTTACAGAGATGCTTGTTGACATAGGCTCTGAGATTTACACATCTCTAAGAGACACTCTTTTTTGTGTACTCAAAAAGTGAGTACACTACTAAAATCGGTCTGTGTGTCCGTCCGTCCGTCCGTCCGTCCGTCCGTATACACGATAACTTTCGAAAGGAGAGTCAGATCGCGATGAAATTTTTTGCACAGTTCAGTCTTTACAATATCTCGGTCGAGTTCGAAGATGAGAAGGATCCGTCGAGAAATGA